TGGATAGAGCACGGGACTTGGAATCAAGAGCACTTACCTTTATGGGCTCAAATCTAGCCTCAGATACTTAGTAGCTGTGTGACCCTGGACAAGTCACTTAACTCTGTTTGCCTCAGTTTTCTCATCTGTACAATGAGCTGGAGAAGGAAATGACAAACTACTCAAATTGGGTTCACAAAGAGTTGTACAAGACTTACACAACTCAACAAAAATTTGCAAAGTAATTTGCATTTGCTTACTCATTTAGTCTTCATAATAACCCTGTTAGGTAAGTGTTATTCATATCCCCTCTCTATAAATGATGAAACTGAGGCAAAGAGGTTAAGTGACTTGTCTGGGGTCTCACAGCTAATAACTGTATGAGGCAGGATTTGAGCTCATATCTTCCTGGCTCCAGGCCCAGTCCTCTATCTGCTGTACTACCTAGTCTACAGAATACTCTAATGTAAATATTTCTTCAGTTTTTGCATCTGTTTGTCTAAACTCACGTTTTTCACCATGCTTGACCTTCCTAATCTTACTGGATTTTTTATACCAGTTAGTCAATCCCTTCCTCCATCACTGTATTTTTAGATATTCTGTGTTTTGAATAAGGTACACGTTTCTAGAGTCTTATTTTTAAGCATCCTCTTGACCCTTTTAAGACTCAATGAAATGTAGGAGAGCAAACTTACATCCTTTTATTTTTGGCTTTGTATTCTCAGATATTACACAATGTCTTGCCCATAGCAAGTGTTTAGTAAATTTTGAATTTGCAGGATACAGGTAAATTACTCTAGGAATATTTGAGGCAATAGAGAACATGTTTTGCTGAGAAGATTGGTAGAGAAAGAAAGGATCGTGGAGAAGGTGGCATTTAGATTGAGTCTTGAAAGGAAAGGATTTGTAATCCTTTAAATTGAAATTTTAACAGGAGAGTACATTTCATTCATGGAAAATTTGCCTTTGAAAATTCAGGGACACAGAAGAAAATAGCATTTTTGAATCCTTGGAACAGATAGTCAAGATCGGTTACAATGACAAATGCATTGAGTAGAGTAATGTCAGACAAGGTTTGGAAAGGTATATTGGAGCCATTCTCTGACCTTGCCTTTTTTATTTCCTTTGCCTGGAGAAAAAAAGTACTTTCCCATAGTCTCACTGATTGGAAACTTGTTTAATTGGTCAGTGGACAGTATGAGAACCATTTATTTCCTTTGGGCTATTAACTGTTGTCAGGAGAAAGCAATGTGAGAGAATTCTGATTGCATCATCAGTTTCCTAAGAAATACACTGAGGTCACATTTTTTTTTTTTACTTATGCACTGAAAAGCCAGCAGATGGCAAGCTTGAGACTTTCCAGGCATTTCTGATTTGACTTTCAACTTGAAACCCTTGATATATGTGTGCACGTACTGATCCATCAGTCACTGAATCTCATGAATGGATCTTTGCATGTAAGTCTTACACAACTCTACAATTTCAGGGTTCACAGACATCATACTAGAATCTCAGCCATTGGTAAACAAAGAACATACTTTGTATTATTTCTTCTTTGTTACTAAATCATAGCATTTCAGTGTTTCATGGGAATTCAGAGCCAAGCTATGCTGGACAATTATTTATCCAGGCTTTAACTGGAGACCACCAATGAGGAGAAATTTAGTACTTTCTTCAGCATCCTATTCCATTTTGAGATGATATAACTTTTAATAAGTTTTGTTCTTCCAATATTAAGCCTGTCTGTGACTTTGTAACTTTTACTATCATTCTTAGTTCTGCCCTCTGGGGCAAAATTATCCAATTCCAATGCCTGCTTCACATGAAAACTCAGCAAATATTGGAAGGTAGCCATTGTGTATTCCCTTGGTCTGTTTTGGAGGCCAGACCAAACATTTCTACGTACTTCAACTGAGCCCTACATAATAATAACGTAAGACCCTCCATGCTCCTGATTACCCTTTTGTGTTTATTGATACTTTCCCTACAATGTGGTACCCAGAACTGAGTCTATCAGAGTGAATTGGTTTGGGGGCACTACTATTCCCCCTATTCCTGGGAATTCAACTTCTGTCAGTAAAACACAGGATTCCGTCACTTAGCTGGCATATGATGTTGCTGATTTATATTAAAAGGAGTCCATTGAAATCCTCATATCTTTTTCAAGACGAACTGTTCTCTAAGAGATGCTTTTATTATGTAGTTATCCAAGAAGCAACACTATATTGGGAAAGCTAGCGTACCTTGCACGACACATGTTCACTCTTGATTACTATGATTAAAGAAAGATGTCAACTATCCTTAAGTTGGACTTAATAAATCTTTGTGTTATCTAATGAGATACCCGGTAGCGTAGTTGGTAGAACAGAACTGGTCCCAGAATATCTTTATGTGTATTCTCAACATTTTTAAAATGCATTAAGCTATATTATATCCTACCTACAATTCAAAAGAAAGTCCGTGTATCAATGAAAACCTGTCTCCATTTCAATAAGTGAATTTGAACTTCACAAATCTTGATTTCATCCAGGGATCCAGGCAATGTCAATATGTGGATGGGCTTACATGTCTAATATGAGGCTTCTGCTAAATGAATATAATTAGCCTAGAAATAGAAATGGAACTATAATTCATCAATATGCTCATTGTTTTCCCCTCCAAATGCAAATCTTCTCCTAACATGAAACAACTTAACAAGCATGTGTTAAGTGTATACTATGTACCAGGTATTGTGCTAAGATCTGAGGATGCTGTGACAAAAACAAAAACAATTCCTACCCTCAAGTCTTTTAACCTGTCTAAGCTAGTTTTCTCATCTCTGAAATAGGAATAATAATAGCTGTATGCAATATTAGACCAACAAACCCCACTTCATAATCACATCACAGTTACTTAGGTTTCTGCAATTATTACTTAATTTAATCAAACAGTTTATAATGTATTTCTGGCTCTTCTACTGAGAAGAAAAGTAATTTTAAAAAAATACAACAGTGATTAGTGCCAGGAAAAGGGGCGAAGTGAGTATTTTATCATTTTTCTAGAGAAATAGGATGAATTCAGTGATTTTGTGGATAAAGTTTTAGGTCTGTTAGGGCACAGAACTGATTGGAAGGAACTGGAAATACAAGACTTTGTGTATATTTGTGTGTGTGAGAGAGAGACAGAGACAGAGAGACAGAGATAGACAGAGAGAGAAAGAGAGAAAGGGGCTTATCTTTTTCTCAACTCTAGCTTTTATTCTTCCATGTCCTAACAGCTGGCAATGCCCCTGCTGTAGCTAAACAGGAGAAGTTATGAAGAATATGTCATACTTTCTCTTGTTTGGAGATGACTTGGCACTAACAGCTGTTAGGACTTGGAAGGGGGAAGCAGGAGTATGCACAAGATGTTCCAAAAGTGTTAGTGCAGTTTTAAATCAAGAATTTTGGGACACCTTGTATCTGTATGATTGGGGTCTGAGAAGCAAACTAACTTTCTGGATGAGGGGTGGAGAACCTGCTGCCTCAAAGCCACATTTGGCCCTCTAGGTCCTCAAGTGTGGCCCTTTAACTAAATCTAAATGTCGCAGAACAAATCCCCTTAATTTAATATAAAAGATTTGTTCTATAAAATTTCGCTTCAGTTAAAAGGCCACACCCAAAGACCTAGAAGGCCACATGTGGACTCGAGGTCGCAGCTTCCTCACCCGTATTCTAGATACTCTCCCTTTGGAAAATATGAATATTTCATTGAATTAGAAACCAAGAAATGAACATGGTGACTATACACAGTGATTTTCAGAAGACTGATGTGCCACATGAACCTTGCATGCAAATCATGGAAACAATATTACTAGCTGGACTATAGTGCTTCATTCAGTGCTCTGAATCGCTATTTTGAGCAGGTTCTGGATAAGCCAAGTTTGAGTCTGTGTGTGTGTGTGTGTGTGTGTGTGTGTGTGTGTGTGTGTGAGAGCGCTTGTTTTCTTTGATCAATGTCTTTTTCAAAAATTTTGAAACATATCTTGTAAATTACAGTGAGAACCCAATGAGCCCATCACTGCTCTGTCTAAGGCTGGCTACTGACTGGAATGAATGAAATGCTTCATCTGATACCTTTTGGGACTCAACCATACCATCCCAGAGGGTGAGTAGGACAGAATAAGCAAGTTCATCCTTTCCCAGTATCACCTAGTAAAAAATCCTAAGAATAAAATGTTCACCTTAATTCTGACTTGACAGACTTCTCTGGACTAAGAGGGTCTTTGGGCTGAAGAAGAGCCTTATCCCTTCTAGGAAGTGGATAGTATTCCACTAGGAAGTGGAAGTATTTCTATAACTATGCCCTTTTGTCTTTTAGGCTCGGTAGCCTTCTCCATATTCTCTACTCTCTCCCTTGACACACTCCTCCCCACTCCCTCCCCCCTCCTCAGAAAGTTTTGAGAAAAAAGAGCTTTGACTCTGTAGGTGTATTTTCTCCTTTCCCAAAGAGAATGCTAAAGGGGGGAGGGGGAGGGGAAAGGTGCATCTTGGTCCTCTTGCAGTTCATTAGGGTCCCTGGGCGGGGCTGAGCAAAGGCCAGCTAGGGTATTGGCTCTAAACATATACATATATATCTGTCTTTTTCCCTCCTCCATCAACCTCCTAAATTCCAATGAGGTCACTGCGATGAGCAAGAACAAGACAAAAAGAGAAGGGGAGGAAGAAGAGGGTGGCGGTGAGGGGGAGGAAGAAGGAGAAGAAGAGGAAACAGAGACAGAAAGGGGCAATCAGACAAGGTCGACTTTTTCTGAGACACAGCAACTGTGAGGAGTGTGGTGCTGAATGTAATCTGCCTGGAAGAGAGACGGAAGCGGAGATAGAAGGACTGAGCCGCTTTTCTATTACGACAGTAACAAAGGGAGACGAGGCAGAGAGGAAGCAGAAAGAAGAGAGTGAGCCCTCCCACTCGTCTCCCCACACACACACACCCCCAGCAGAAGACAAAACCCCTAGGCTCGGGAAAAGAATCAAGAAAGCCCGAAGTGCTGGAAGACACGGGACGGAGAAAAAGCCAGCTTACAAGAGAGGGGGCGTGCAGGTTTCCCGCAGGGACTTTGGACGCAGCAGCACCCTGGACAGCGCCCGGGTGAGCGCATCCCTGACAAAAAGACTAAGCTCTAAGCGGCCATCCTCTTGAGAAGAGGTTACTTTTGCAGCATCTCCCCTCTATCTTTCCTTCCCTCCACTTCAGCTTGCCTTCAGCCCTGGAGCAGAAGGAAATCCTTTGTCCTTTGGCACTTTGAACGTGCCAGGAGGTGCCCTGGGTGCTTTGGTCCCGTCCAGAGAACCTCGCTTCCGTCTCTGGGACCCGCATACCTGCTGGAAAATGCTAAACTGGTGAAGAAAGGGGAAAAAAAGTTTTGGGGGGTCTGCTAGGGGGAGAGAGGGGAGTGCACGGGGAGAGCGGAAGACAGAAGGTGGATGGTTTGTTTCCCAGGCTGATCTGGAAGGAATGATGACCGAGGAAGGATGTGCACCAGCGGCCAGATCATTGGGAGCCTGCTGGTGCTCTCTGTGCTGGAGATAGGGCTGGGGGCGTCCAGCGTGGCCGTGGGGGCAGTGAGCTTCAGCCTGGCCCTCAGAGAGCACCAGCCGCAGCTTGGAGACTCCTCTCCGGTATGGAGCGGGCTGTGTGTACGTTAAGCCATTTCACTCTCTCTTTACCTCTTGTTGCTGATGATCATTGCGTGTTTAATAGCTCCTCCCCGGGAGGGAAGGCCATAATAAACCTCCCCCTTGCATGTCAGTCTGGAAAAGCATCCCCTGTGCATTGTTCCTGTTGGTAGGCTAAGCCTGTCCTCTGGGGTCCTTTTTTTTGTTTGAATGCCTGCTTGGGGTGAAGACCCAATGAAATAAGAATCTCTGGTTTACCTGGAGGGTGAAAGGGTCTTCTGGGAGATCCTGGAATGGTCCTGTTAGTTGGAATAATCAGGGGGTGCCTTTTTCAAGAATGTCAAGGGCATGTCCTCTGACTTCTCTGTTCCTTTAGAAGGAAAATCGGATGGAAACATGTCATGGGTTTTGTAGTGTCTTCAAAAGCAAGCAGGATTGTAATTATTCTTTTGTCTTAGGGAAAATGGTGCCCAGGACACACAAGTGGCAATCCAGATGTGACAAAGCTAGATACATAGGGTGTGTGTGTGTGCCTGTGTGTAATCTCATATGCCTCAAGTAATGATAATATTGTCCTCCCGTCCTTTTCTGCTAGTTCTCTCAGATGATTATTTATTATTTATCAGCATACACCTGGAAACCACTCTATAAGTTCTAGGCAATCCCTTGTTTGCAGTAGAAGGTAGGGGGTGAACAACAACAGAGTACAATTTGTTACAATACCTCCAATCACATAGTTCCTACTGAGAGGTTTCATACACTTCATGAGGTAAGCTGCCAGAACCAACATACCTTTTGTTTCTTCCTCTATAGAAAGATTCAAGAAAACTTTAAGAACTTATTCCTTCTGCTAGGAATTGTAGTTTGGGCCTAACTGCAAAAATTGTTGGGGGGGGGTTTCTTCTCCCTGGGTTCCATTAAATCTTGATACCTTTCACATTGTACCTTGGAAGATTGCTATTAGAAAATGTGATTTTATTTTCCTAGTAATTCTATTAGTGAAATTATAAAATTATTTGTGTTGTGTTTTAAGTGAAAAAATGGCCATTTGGGTGCATAAGTGTAATAATCCCAAAGACAATTATTCTTAATTTAGTTGATAGCTAATGCATGCATATTGATGAGGATTCTCATGGGGTTCTCTAATAAGCCTAAATTAAAGTAAACCTTACCCTTCAGAATTTAGTAACTGGGTCACATCTTTTAAAGTTAAATTTGAGCAGATTTTTTTTTCTTTATAAAAAAAGAGAAAAAAATTAACTCTAACTCCAAGAAAGCTTTAACGTGTTCAAATGAGTGTACAATTTTTCTTTGATAATAATAACAATTATGGCTAAATTGTGTAGCATACTTGGCTACAAAACTTTTTATACACATCATCGTTGGACATTCTTTTGACCTAAGCATAAGTAACCTTTTCAGACTGATAGTACAAATATATGGAATTAGAGTTTATTAGTTAAAATACAATGGAAACCTTCAAAATAAATTTTCTTCATCTTATATACACTAGGTAATATTTTTGAAGTCATGGTGCAGTCACAGAGCAGAACAATAAACTTCCAAACTCTTCCCATGAAAAATTGCAGTTACTATGAATTGTTACCTAGCTCTAGCGTTCATAGTGGTAGGAGAGGCTAGCTTAACTGGTGACTTGATGACCAGGATTCTTGCATTGTTTTCCAAATTTGCTCCTCAGCAAATCAAAATAAATGAAGAAACTGAAGCCATGTCTTCTTGGTGCCCAAACAGCAGGCTTGTTGAGTGCGGTTAGGAAGAAGATATTAATTAAACTGGTTATTTGGTATCATATATAGAAAAGTATCTAGGAATTTGGTTGACTCAGCTTCATTTTGCACCTGGTTGTTTGGCATCCTTGAGATGCAAACTACAAGAGGCCATGGTTGTGTCTTCATGAAATTAAGCTGTCTAGTCAGTTCAGTAGGGGGAAAAGCCTATAACTTTTCAGGACAATGAGGGTCTGGGAGGTCACCTAAATTAGTTTAAATTGATGACTTCAAGGTGTGTGGAAATTGTTCCTGACTGCCAAAAGCAGCAAATAATAAGTGGGCAAGGGGCTGGTATTTGAAAGTGATGCTGTAATCAAAATGAGAGGTGGCATTGAAAATCAAGGAAAAGTCATAGAAAAAGTTCAAAGTGACAAAGGAATGAAGTGGGTAGGAAGCTGCTTTTTCCAGAATATTGTGACATAGATGATAACAGCATTGAGATTTCCTGCAACTAACCTAGAAGCAGGGACTCAATCACTCACTTCTGCCTGCATGGTCCTAAACAAGTCATGAAATCAATCTTGAGTTGGAAGTGAATTCAAAGGCCATCCCATCTCACCCATATTTCAACTTGACTCCCCTCTCCAGCAAGGCAAACAAGAAGTCATCCCTTACTAACTCACAAAGTAACTCGTTCCAGTTTTGCTAAGCTACTTAACTTAGTTAGATTTCTACTTCTTCATCCACAAATAAGAAAATTGGACTAAATGATGTCAGTTGTTACTCTTGGCTCTAAAATTCTGATTCTATGTGTCCTTACCATTTTGTAGCATTTGTGTGCTTGGAACTAGCTCTTTTCTTCTCCCTACAAATACAACATAAGGCAAGCTCTTGGAAGCACATTAAAATATTGCCAATGTTTAGGTTACCTAAACAACCCTGCCTAGTATCTTTTGTATTAGATAGAATGCTGGCTGAAGAGCCAGGAAGACCTGGATTTTAATTCCATCCCAGATATTTATTTACAAGTTATGAAATGCTGGGCAAATCATTAACCTTGGCTCAGCTGTAAAATGAGCACAATTATTCTGTAGCTGTTGTCTAAAGAGGTTGTTGTGAAGAACAAATGAAATAATTTCTGAAAAGTGCTTTCAAAAACAGTGACAGACATTTGCTTTATTATGATTATGTATTGTCTTTATTACTTTACTCTATATAGTAAATCTAGTGCTTCAGATGGGTAGAATTTTTGTGAAGCTTCAGAGACCTACTTGTTTAATGGCCTCATCCTTCACCATGGCAACAACTCAACCAATTGTATGTTGTGTTAAAGTCCGTACATATGCAAATTTTAATCCATACCCCAACATAGAGATAATATTCCACACCTAAAGGGAGACTGCACAAAAGAGAAATAAAGCATTTCTTTTTTGCTATAATTCTAAAGTTATTTATTTCCCTGTAACTAAATAAAACTAAGTTAAAGGTAGGAGATATCACAACACAAGGAATGACATTGGGTTATGATATTTGAATCCAATTGATCCATGACTCAGGAGTTCCCAAATTTATTTGGCCTATTGCCCCCTCAAAAAAATTACTCAGTGCCCTCCTGGAAATCTTGTGAACTAGGAAAGAAGTCTCATATTAAGTGTACAATTGCATCTGAGGCTACTACCACATACCTGTATCATTCCAGTGCCCCCAGGGGGTAGTATCACCCACTTTGGGAATCACTGCAAGTGATTCTTTTCTCCCATGAATATGATTTAGCACTTGCTTACTCTGAATTCTGACTCCATGTGCAAAGCAATGCTAGGTATCTGAAGAAAATAAACCATTTACCTTAGTGTAACTTGCAACAACTCTAGTTTTATTTAATCAAAGTAGATTGTAGATCGTAGATTGTACAGTAGATTGCACAGCAGTTCTGGTAGGGATGACTACCATATTTGAAAAGATAATGATGAGTCTTTCTCTTTCTAGACACTAGAAAAATCTCTTTCTGCAGCCAAGGATGCCTTTAGACTTGTGGTAAATCACCATGTGGACATCTGGTGCTTATGAACATCCCCTCTACCATTACTGAATGTGCAGACTAAAGGCACGGTATTTCACCAGTTTCAATATTTCAGATGCCAAATATATGTTAGATCATTTCAGACTAGATCATCTGAATCTCTTTGGCCTAAATTATACACATCATCAATGAGAAATAACATGCATCTCTCTTCAAAATTACAATATGTGTTAGATCTGGCATTATTGTTTAGGTAGCCAACATCCACCTTTCGTAATATGTAACAGTATTACTAGATCAGAGAAAATACAAATTTCAAGCAGACAATCTATGAATAATAGGATCAGTAACATCAAGTAATCACTTGAGAAAAAAAACAATACATTAATTCCATTTTACTTTCAAAGTCCTAAAATAAGGCGTGTTTTTTCCCCAGTGAGTTAACATAAAGTTTAACTGAGCCACAGCTCACTCAGTGTGAAGCTTTTGGTTGTCTTAGCAACCAAATACAATTGCTAGGTGACTCCTATGATTGTGGATGGAATATTCCAAATGTCCTCTTGGTATACCAACAGATATATCTGTTTCCCGCGTTTTAAGAGTTGGTACGTGAAAGAGGAATCAGTATTGCTCTGTTTGGTCCCAGAGGGAAGAACTAGGAGTAATACATAAACACCACACCAAGGATTATCTTGTTTGGATAGAGGGAAAACTTCTTCACCATCCAAGCGTCCACAAATAGAATGAAATGTTTCATGACACACTGGGTTCCCTCTCATTCGAAGTCTTCAAGCAAAGAATGAATGTCCACTTGTTGGAAATATTTTGGAGGGCATTCTTAATTAAATATTTATGACTTCTGAGGTTCCCTCCCATTGTGATATTAGGAGACTCTTTTCTAGCTATAAAATCTGCTGTAATGCCAGCCTTGTAGTGGTTAGGTATGAAATCAAGGAGAGTCTGGAAATCAGTTGCTAAAAGGTGTTTGGGCATAAATAACCATGCTGACAAAAATATTTAATGCATTGACTACAACAGAAGAATCTATTTCCATTGTTTATCCCACTAAGTAGAAATGTCACTCAAAATAGTAAGATAAAAAAAAAAAAGACTGTGAGGCTGTAAGAGAAGCCAAAATAAATGTAAAGATTAAGTAAGGTTCATCCAAGTAAAGCCAATTATAGTCTTTGCCTGGGGTGATTTTTGCCTATGCCAGTTCAGCATCTTAAAGAGCTCAGGATTTCTTTCATGGCAGTCTCATTTTAGAAGGT